GGTACTTGTTGAACGCTGATTGCGCAACTTGGGAGAACGATTGTGTAATGACCGATGCTAAGCGAAGATCGCTGTGGCATTTAGAAGCGCTTGGGGTAGCAATGTCGGTTAATAAAATGGCCGACTAGAAGGAAAAGGGGAATAGAAATGGGCATAAAAGTGATTTAGTTCAGAATAAAAGGGGAGGAGAGTGATTGAAAAGTGAAGAAATGAGAGACCAACGTGGAGAATAAAAATTGATGGAAATGAGATGAAAGATGGATAGGAATTGTATTGTGAGAGGTAGAAGCTTGACAGGGATTAGAAGGAGAGGTAGCAGTAGTAGTAGGGGGAGAAAATAGTTGGGTAAGACGGGGATGTGAGCGATAAAATGTGAAACGACTTTGTGGATGAGAAGACATCGAAATGCTTGTGTTCGCCGTTTTACTTCCTCCGCAAGGAGATTCACGCATTTTGGAGGTGGATCCTTAGCACCTTTAAGCATCCAGGCGAAGGAAAGGCCTCGACTTTTGATGTTTTCAATTCGACATCAGTCTGTCGCCACTAGCCTTCTCACCTGCATTCAAGTCCTCTAAGCACAAATGACTCCCTTCTCGTCGTCATCTCCTCGTCTGTGTCTCTCCATTATCGTATTTGTTGCGTTCTCTTACTATAAATTCCATGCCTGTCCTTACAATTGCCTTCCTTCAACCTTCATCTCTCCCACTGTTCCCCGCCTCCGATGTTTTATCCGCGCATTCCTTCTCTTTCCATGCTTCTATTATCCTTACACACCCTTTCTGTTCGCATGATGCTGCACGCTCTTGAACTTGAGTGCTTCCCCGTCGAAGGCTGCGCACCTCAGTGGTGAAGCCCCTTACCCCTACAAAGTGGAGGCGAATGTCAACAACATTCATTCTCTCCGCTTGTCTTGCAGTCCACTTTGCCACTCGAGCTGACGACGAGCCTGTCCAGTCGTGAGAACTTAGAGGATGTGGAGGACGACGAAAAAAGTCGCTGATGGTAGCGCATTTGCAACAGAGGACAATGACGATGAGTGTGTTGGTGATGGGGGTGACAAAGGCTAGACATTCGTATTTTTTTACGATGTGAGGAAGTAGAGCACGAAAGCTGATTAAAGAGTCGAAAAGATCCGTGCATCTCGCTAAGCATGGGCATGTTAATGAGGTGCATGAGGATGGTACAGCAGACAGAAGATTAGTTTCAAGTCAAGAAGATCGCAAAGGTAAGAGTAATTTGAAGGGGTCAAACGGTTGAACGCATTGTGGTGAAAGCATCAAGAATGGATAAGAGGGCAAGTAAACGGACCGGACGTTTTTTAACTTTCCGTCCCAAATTTCGCTAACGGTAGGTTGAAGTGTTGTGGAATGCCACATTTGCAGGTGGGGGTCGAGCCGCAGTCGAGTCTTGAAGTCTAAAGGCACTACGCGGCGAACTGGATTCTCAAATAAAGTAATTTGACAACCCGTTTGCTCATCCACAAACTCACCCCCACCCTCGCCCTACCTGTCTATCCAATTGCTCACCAAACATAGGCTTCATCCATTATTCACACAAGCATACACATGTTCATCCATCCATCCATCCATCTTTTCATTGACCTGCCTCTAAGGCCATCATGTTTATGCCACGTATTCATTTGTTTGGCTTAAAAAGTGCGCTGCAGTTGTGGAAACTGGAGCCATCTACTCTCGCTATCGGTCAAGGCAGCCATGGCCTATAAAAGGTTCAAGAAGACACTATCTATTTTCAAGTAAAGTGTCTGATGAAGAGTGCCTGCTCCTCCACTTCTCTCTTCTTCTTATTCTTTTTCCTTTTATTGGTCTGTTTGGCCACTAGCGCCAAGGCCACAGCTCCGGACCATCGAGCCCCCTACCATTCACACTTGGAAGAGGAAGACGACTATTACTACGACTACGATTATTATGAAGACATAAGCGAAGAAGAGTTTGAGAAAACCAAGCGACTAGTTGAAGAGAGTAGTGAGAAGGACGAGGAGGTGCATGGAGAGGTGGGACCTGACGATTTTCTTCAATCAGTTGATGACGATAAATTCGGACCTTCCCATCACTCCAAGGAATAAGAGGATGCAAGTCTTCAGCTCCTCTACGTCTCCCAATCTGGCCACTTGATTGTCTTTGGCCACAAGTTCCTTTTTCCAGCCAATTTGTTAATTTAAGCCTGCGTTCGCTCTTAACAAATTTAGCGTTTCATTTAAAAATAAAGCAGTGCTTTAATAACTTTTGTTAACCTAGGCTGGGGGCGGGAGAGAGAGCGGAGTTGAGGAGAAGGGAGGAAGCGGAATGACAAACGTAAATAGGAAAGAGGCAATGAGTTGAGTGATGGCACAGATACACCCTCCAACAAGACAACCGATCCTTATTCCTCCCTACTACATCCAACCCCATCCAACTACCATGACACGGTTCTCGTTACACTCCCCTTCTGCTGCGCTTCTGGAGGTACTTTTGTGCAGGTCAGTCTCTCCTTTTACACCTTCCACGCGCCACTGATCATGACCAACAAGTTGAAGTAGTCTCTTCCTGTTCCACAGACCAGAAGAAGCATTCCTCACACTCGGTCAAGATCGCCATCGGCTACACAAGATCTCTTTCGGTGTCACCTCTTCTCACCACAAGTCCAACAATGCTGCAGACGCGCTTGTCCCTCCTCCCCATTCTGCTAGCCCACTTAGTGGTGCCTCTCGTCACATGAATGGGCGTGGATGGCGCTCCACACCAGTCCCATCTTACCTACTCACAGTCGCCGCATGAAGCCAATTTCGACCGACTTGTCATCAGCAGCATCGATATCGAGGTTGGAAGAGAAAAGACGATCTGCAAAAGCACTTCCACTTCCCAACCAAAATGGAATGGCGTTTAAGCTAATCGTCTTGGTGTGTAGGCGACTCTACCAAAGGGATTCAGTTTGGACAACTCTAAACACTTAGCAGAAGCAGCACAATAGCTGCAATCTTTTCGCAAT